TCTTTTTTTAACACACAACCCCCCTCCCCAAAAGGCCGTTTTCCCAACATTTCAGAACTACAGAACATGTATACCTTGATGTTGTGTGTGAAAATTTATAATGGGCACTTTGTGGGGTTGATCAGAATCCCATTAAAGGGAGCACAGAGCCTGTCTTAGATCTTAAATAGAGAATTACAGTAATTTAGGCTTCAAAGTCAAAATTCAGATAAAGCAAATAAAAATTGCTACTGTACCTTTGAATTTCAGCCTCCACTCTGTGTTTTAGTGGAAGGAAGATTGCATTTGAAGTGGTCAGCATGCAGATGTTGGCCATATGTTTTGCTCTTTCTCCTCTCTGATCAACTTAAAATCATTATGCGCTTAACAAATGCTCACTTCTTGGTAGTGCCCCATAATTTCCAGTGTGAGCATATCCTTCAATACTTATTTCCTTGAGAATTTGAACCTGTGCTTGGCACAACTGTGTAGAGGTTTGAAAGTGCCCACTGGAGAAGCACATTGCAGTAACTGCATTGGAATGTCAGTCTCACAGGGCTCCAGTTGTTATGATCAAAAAAGGCAATGAAAGAGTAAAAGAGATTTACATTAATGTGTGCAGCCTTGACTGTTGAGGGCTACAGCTGGCACATGTGTTTCAGCATCCTTGATCTGCTGATGTGGAGAAACTTGCTGAACCATTCTTTCTTGGCTGTGAGTATGGACTTTTCCAATCTTAATGGACCAACAGGCAGAGGCTGTTAATTTGAATTATGGAGGAGGCTCACGGGCTTCAGTGCGTTAAACAGCCCTCCCAAGGTTGTGCAGGGAGGGGTCTGCTGTACCTGATATATAAGAGTAAGTGATTTTGTTGAAATCATAGGTTATCCTTTAGGTTTTAGGCCAGCTTGAGGATATTGAGTCTGACCGAGTGTTGCTTTACTGCTACTTTATGGTTATGCGCTTCCACTAATATACCTGGAGTTTTAGTCTACTATCTACTGGTAGCCTTTGGAAAATACTGACGTTCATAATTGTTTAATGAATCTTTAATGGAGCTTTTAGCGTGTGTGAGGGTATGCATGTTGATTTGTGTATGCATATGTAGGTATTAGGAAAATAACTAAGGCTGTTGAGAGACTCCTGCAAGATCCAGAGAGGGGAATATATGATCACAGATTATAATAAGATGTAAAGGTTTTCCAGTCCTTAAAATTGACATATTAAATTGCATATACTCTAATGATGTGAACTGACTCAGAGAATTTGAAGGAAATAACATCTGTGCACATCAAAGCTTAAAAATAGAAACTTCATCAGTCAGTAGCAGTTCAGACTGAATAAAGAAATAATGACGTTATTAATTATGGTGGTTAGAGAAAGGAAACATAAAGTTCAAACTTTCTGAAGACAGAATGCTGTCTTCACTCATACAGTATGTCTGCTGGGTATCAGCCCCTTGTTCTGCTAAGCCACTCTGTAAAGGTGGGGGCCATTGTCCAAACATCGACACCTACTGCTATTTCAGGTAGCCTAAGATGGCTGAGGCTTCCCACCTGGCTGACAGATAGGACAAAAGGCATATGGGAGACTGCTGCCCTTCTTGGAGTGGCAGCTGTATGCCCTGAGGCATCTCAGATGGCAGTAGCTGCTTCTGTCTCAGGAGTAACTGCACATAGACGTAAGTACAGACTCACTTCACTTGCACCTTTAATACAGTCACCTGAAGCACATCAGTAGTAGTTCATAGCAGTGTTTGCAGTGGGTAGTTGCAGAAAGCAATGAACAGTTTATCTAATTTTAAACTTGGGAAGAATTTTGAGGTGAATTGAGCACTTATCCAGATTGAAATCTGACCAGGATACAAAGTTAAAAACTATCCTACTGTTAAAAACTGTAGTCATAAACTATGATTCAAAGTTGCAGTGGATGGTTGTTTTCCTAATGACCTCAGATCCATTCATTCATTTTAACATTTGCCTTTTTATGTATTCATAGTTAAATATAACTTGAATGTTGTCCTAATTACATTCTTATGTTAATTTAGCTCTGATTCAGAATTTCTGTCACTATTCTTTGTAGAATTATTTTGAAATGATGTAAAGTTCAGTAAAGATGCTCCAATGTGTGATTGTGCCTTTGAATTATTTATCACCATTGAAAGACAGAAATATGGTTAAAATCTAGTTTGAGTTGTAAATGAGTCTTGGTAATGTAAGGAGGAAGTGAAAATCCTTTTTGCAGAGCAACGTGGTTTATGGGCGCATCATTTGATATTGTGGGAGTGCTTTGCAGCCCCACATAAGCGCCTCGTGGCTTAATAGGAAAACATCCACTGCACCAACTGCAAATGCTGTCTAAGCAGATAAGACAGATAAAATGTGATAGAAGAGAAAGAAAGGTACAGAGACAACTTGCTCAGATGACAGAGCAGATTAGTGACAGAATTAAGAAGAGAAAACAGATGTCCTGTCTTGGTCACAACCAGCACACTCTCCCTCTGCTCTGTGCTATGGAAAAAAAAGCTCTCCCAAGCAGCATTTAGCCCATGTTTTTCACAATGCATCACAGTGGCAAGTAGTGCAGTGTTAACAGAAGGGTGAAGAATCCATGATTAATGCAAAAACTCATACTTGTGGCTGTGGCCCTGAGCTAGATAGAGAGCAAGCAATTGCTTGGCAAGGCATGTGCGAGACTGAGAGGGTGAGAAACTGCTGGGAAAAAATTCTGATGGAGAAAAGGAAACTTGTCTTAATGTAACCAGCAGTTTTGCTTAGAGGTAAGTGAAGGGAAATTCTTCATTCATAAATGGTTCATTGACCCATGATAATAAAGCAGTGCTGCAGAAGAAGGATAATTATCTACTTAAGTATTAGATGCCCTAAGGGTAAAAGCTTCCCTTCTCTCCTTTTGAAAAATGAACTCGGATTAAGCGAATGTCCTTTTTCCTGTTTTAGTATTGACATGGATTTCCTTTTTATGAGTAAAATTAATTAGTTTTCTTTTCCTTTATTCCTGGTATGGAAATCAGGTCTGCCAAGCAAGTTTCCAGCTCTTCCCTTGGGCCCTAAGTTGAGCCAATAGCATCCTTTATGGAGGTGCTTTGTATAGTGTGCTGGGAAGGCACAAATGAATTACAGGAGATTTATTATGCCCAATAGCTTGCCAAGAGGCACAGTATTTTAGAACTAAACCCCACAAAACTAGGCTTTTTGTCCCCATCCAGGATTGGTTTATTTCCAATTACCTGCTTTCTAAATACATAATTCTCCTTTCTTAAACTTTAATACCGTAAATTGTAACAAGAAGAAAAGAATACTGATGACATAGCTGATGGGGGCAAAAGGGGGCAGATTTTCAATGCAGATTAACACCCACATCCAGGGGGCCAGTCTTGTCCTGTTTTGCTGGGAGCTTGCTCAAAATATCTGCTCCGGCTTTAGCAAATACCCATTACAGTCTTGTCTGTCCTCATCTGGACTCTGGAAAATGATCGAAACCTACCCTACTTCTTCACTTCCAGAAGATGTCTGGGTTTCTCTCCAATTGTAATTATAAATGCAATGCCTACAATAAACTAAGTGAAGGTAAACATGTTATCTCTCTGTTTATGGAAATAAATCATAGAATGGTTTAGGTTGGAAAGAACCTTAAGATCATCCAGTTCTGACACCATCTCTTGAATGTATTAATCTTTATTCCAAATGTGAGTCTTGAAAATCAGGTTGATGTAACCTTTGTGTGAACCTGTTAACTACAGAGCACCTGCGAGTTACCTTTCCTGGAGTATAGAAAATGTTCCTGAATAATTGAAGGCGTCAAGATGCAATAAAAATAAAGATGACTAATACAATGGCATGGGACTTAATTTTCTTGAGTTAGTCCTTTGAACACCTGCCTTAATACTGAAAAAAATAAGTTGTTAATTTTCATAGCCCTTGCTCATGAAAGTTCAAGTGGTGTTAAAGGTGATTTTAAAGTCTTTATACTGCAAACACAATACTGTATGTCAGAAAAAATAGTCCTGTCTGAGGGGAATTGAAATAAGAATCAAGTCCCAGGTCCCTGCCTTTTAGATTTGTGCAACTGAAACTCTGCTATTCTGGACCTTATTGATAATGTTACAAAATCAACTTTCAAGTGAGGAATCACGGCAGTTATTAATTTCTGTGAGCACAACAGATCAGATATAGTGAATAGTGTCTGTGTACTTCTATTGTGTACTTTGTAGCTCCATTTCACTGACTTGTGAAGTACAGTCACCAAGCTAGAATAAAACCAAAGTGTATTTATAGTGTTGTGAACACTGTGCTTAAAAGGGAATAATCTTAATTATCTTTATGTATTTCTAAGGACATAATATTTTTAACAGGTGAATGTTCCCTCTGAATGGGATGTAGAATTAAGAAATCTGCTATTGTAAACTTATGGTCAGCTTTTCACATTTAGGTACCTAAAATTAGAGGTGCAAGATCAAGATTCTCAAAAGTACATACCACATATGTGGAAAAGAATTGTAAAACTGCTGTCTCAGATCATACAAGCAGACCCATCATAAATTCCTTTGGCTTTCCTCCATTTTTAATCACAAAAGGAAATGTCTCAAACTTTCAGAGGTGTTAAATATGAGCATCTCCCTATCAAAGTGGAGTCTGAAAACTTTGATTTCCTTAAGATGTTTCACTCTTAACACATCACACGATCATGGGATGGTTTGGGTTGGGAGGGACCTTAAAGATCATGTAGTTCCCACCCCCCTGCCAAGAGCAATGACACCTGCTGGAGCTTAATTTAGTCCTTTTGCCCGTATCTGAGGGATTTGAGGAATCTTCTGAACAAAGCATCTGAGTATCATATGATTCTCTGTATTTAGCTGTGTGCTGTGGTTGCTGTAGCTATAATCCTTGGAGAAGAGTTTAGGCAATTCAAAGGTCATCAGAAGTGGGTATGGGCTGGGGATTGCGACACTTCATTCTGGATCACTCAAACTTGCATCTGTGCCTTGACAATAACACCTTCAGATGTCCTTGTTTGTCCTCTGCGGCCGGTGGAGCGTTTCCGTGACTTGTGTCCTGAGGAAGTGGCGGATTTATTTTGTGTGGCACAAAGGGTTGGCAATGTGGTGGAGAAACACTTCTGCGGCACCTCACTCACCATTTCAGTTCAGGTTTGTAAACCGGATAACTAAAAGAGGTTTAATGGTTTGTTTTACCAAGCTTTCAACCTTCTTCCCTAGCCCAATGACAAAAGGACATTCAAACTTCAGGGGGCAATAAATGCAAAATAATAATGATAAAAAAGCAGCACAATGACTGCATTGCAGTCTGCCAGATTTGCCATTGAAAGAAACCTAAAAGACAAACCAGCAAAGTGTGGATAATTAATTAGCTGCAAAACTTTGGAATAAGCCTGCAAATGCTCCCAAATGCAGTGCTTGCTTGTTAGTATTTCAGCAAATACTCTTCCTTCAAAGAAGTCTTTGCAGGATTGACCTAGAGAAGGCAGCCACATCACGCTGTTCAGCAGGTAACCCACTGCTTGTGATAGAAATGGGTAATTCCTGCTCACAGCTATTTATTTGAAGGCAGAGAGATGCAGCCATGTAAATATGTTATCAATTCTGACCTTTCGGTTATTTTTGCTGGGTGCTTTCAGGCCAAAAAAAAAAAGAGCTCTGTTTCAAGAAATCATGAAACTAAGCCTATTTCATTAGAATAAGAATTTAAGCAAGCATTCTTTGATTAAATTCTCACAGGTATGATTTTATATTTACAGGATCAGAAATCTAACTATTCAAAAACATGATCTGAAAGAGTGAAAAATGGCAACTGTTGGTTTTATGATCTTAAGATGTGGTTCTCACTTTGCCATGGCCTGAGATGGAAAGATGTCTTGTCCAAAACCTTTGTGTTGAATGGCGCCCAGGAAAATATGCTAAATTAACATACAGTACAATTCAGTGTAAATTATTATTAAATAAGATTTTCTGTATTCCTGTGTGATCATTGTGACGTCCTCTAACCTGAAACTTCTCTCTTTGCCTACAGGATGGTCCTGAAGCTGGACAGACGGTGAAGGTGAGTGTTTATTATGTAGAATACAAATTAAGAGACAATTATAAGAACTAATAAAAAAATCAAAGCTAGTCATCTGCAGACCATTGCTGTATCATTATTTTATACTTGAGATTAAAAAATCCCAAGGGTACAATAGCTGTAAATAGTTTTTATTGAATTTGCACAGGATAATGTTTACAGGTTTTCCTTCTAGGAAAAAAAATTTCAATCATAAAAACATCTCTAAGCTGCTGGGTGTATTTATGCAAGAAGAGCCTTAGAAAAGAGGCATCTGTTTAAGCCTTTTGTTAGTTTTATGGAGAAAATATTGCCCTTCTATTCATAATCTCTTTGTTTGTCTTTTTATTGCCTAATGAGTTGTAGCTAATTATAGGAACAGACTGAACCACACTATGAAAACATACCTTTTTGTCTAAGCTTTCTCTCTGTATATTCATATCACATTCTTGTTACTGAAGTTCAAATGTAATGGGGCTAGTGAAGCTTAAACACAGATTTTAAGTGTACTTCCGAAAAAAAGATGGGGGTGGAGGGGAAGAGAAGGATTTATGGTTATACTCTCCACTTAAGTAATAACATAGATAACATCTAAGATGACTCTTCAGCCATGTTTCACTGTCTCATACTGCAAATGCATGTGTAGTTAGATTTTATGCCTGAACATTAGATAAAGGCTATTTTCACATTTGGAATCAAAGGAAAGTCAAATATGGCTGTGGGTTAGCACTTTGTGAAATCAAATTAGATGTCTCAAAGAAGCTGTTTGGGTTGATTAAGATAACTAACAAGCAAATGATGGTGTATAGAAACATTTTACTTCTTTCCAGTTTGCTGCATTGACCTTATCTTTCCTACTTCTTTTTGTTGCCTGCCTTGAATATATAGAAGAAAGGTAATGGGGAGAGGGAAAAAGGAATCAGAAAATTCCCAAGCTCTGAGAAGCTGAGGAGTGATGAAGGAATGTAATAGAATTTACTTCAGTACTATGACAAAACAGGTTCCTCCTTGGAGTGCCTTGGGTGGGGTTCACTGGGAATGCCTGTTGATAGGTGAAATATTTATATTTAAATACATTCTGATATAAGTTTTGTCATTAAGACCAGCATGTTTTAAGAAGCAGATCACAGGATTTCTTTTACTAACTTGGACAATTGGTTTTTATGTGTAAGGAAAAGGATACAGGAATGGTTATATTAAACTTTTGAAGACTTCCTAATATGAATAAGCAAAAATAGATGTAAAAATTCACATCCTCTGTGACTGTGAACAGTAACAAATGCTTATGTAGGTCTAAAAAAGGCAAGAGATTCTGTATCATTTTTTATTCTTCCTGGAGACAAAGAGTATTAAGGGTTAATCTGTCTAATATATTGTAAAATGGTAGCCACCCTTCGTGCTTCCTTCTCACACTTCTAATAAGCAGCGAGATGAAAATGACCCGGTCTTACAGCTGAGAGCCCCTAGATTCTGTAATAAAGAGTGTTTATTCATAAATCAGAGATTAACAGTTTGCATTTGTCTTCTTTTCTGCATCATTGGACAACACTAATTTATCATCTTCACTTTGGGATGCTTATCATCTTCACTTTGGAATGCTTGTCATCTAAAAATGCCAACAGTTATTCTCTTCAGAGAACTGAGAGCTTTCAAAACTTGAATTGGGGAAGAAATTACTATGATCAAGATCTTCTTTAAATTGGAAATCAGGTAGATACATAAATAGATGGTTCCATTTAAACTGTTTGAATCAGAAAATTTGAAAACCTACTGTGTTATTTACATATAATTTAGGAACCTTAAATTCAATGTGTCATGTGTTTCTGTGCGTGTTTTCATGTACAACAATGCACAGTAATGCTGTCTTCCTCTAAGGGAACTTTTAATTAAAATTTCTGTAATGGGCTAAACATTAGAAAAACATTCTAATAGTAAAAATAGGAAAGCCTCACAGAAAACATCACTGGGAGTTTGGGGAAACTGTTTCAGTAGTGTAGGCAAGCATATGTCAGGGGCTAATTAGGTGTAGCTGTTCTTGCTTTGAATGGGATCATGTATCAAGTGGCTTCAGGAGTCCTTTCCATGTGTTGTGTAATTCTGGATACCTGTATAGATACAGGCTACTGTGTGTGCTGTGTAGGAAAAGAATTACAGGAAGCAGGGGAATAGTACTGGCTGTTAAACAGGTCAGTGCAAAGTTTTACAACAAAATGGGCAGAACTATCATCTAGCTGAAGACAAAATCTGCCTGAGAAGTTTTACATGAAAAAGGTTAGGAAATTCTTTGTCAACCAGGAATGGAAACCCATGTCCAGGAAAAATCTTAGAGCTCAGCTTGAGCCTCTCTTTGCTATGGAGGCTACGAAAATTCTGTGTGCAATGCATGCGCCACGTCTAAGAGCTTACCCTTCCAGTATGATTTTGGATATTAATCAATGGTGAGACTGTCTGCCCCTGCTACATATTCGTTGTGCTGGTGCGGGCAGGTTTCAGTCAGATTTATCATCTACTGTAGTATCAGGATTCTTTAAAGCCTCTCGGACTAAAACCTGTCTAGTTACCTAATGGGAAGCTGTTTAACACGTAGCTCCATTACTGCTGTGTTCCTTTCCTTGTGGATAACTGTCCTACTTTGAATCTAAGCTAGCAGAGCCTGCAGGACTGCATTGTAGGTAAGGTTATGGTCCCTCCCCCATTATTGCGGTCTGTGTGTTTGCCTTGGATGGGTCCTTGGAAGAAATTATACCTGATCCTCAGCTCACTAATACTTCTGAAGTGTAGATGGGTCTTTGTTTACCCTTTAGCAGCTCGAAATAGACATTTGCTAATGAATTTTGACCCATGTCCTGGGTCTCAGACCATAAAATAATACAATATATTCCTTCATAATATTTTTCATAGCTGTCCTCAGACTGTGTCTATTCCAGCCCTTTCACCTATTTATAAGAGGCACAACATCCCCCTCCAAAGGTGGTCACAGACTTGTGTACTTTGTGTTTTATTGGGAAAGACGATTTTGCAAACTTGTAACAGAGAACCTGAACATCTCTGAGGAATGTGTCAGCAAGCATAACCATCTTCCAGCATTAAAGACAATTTGAATACTTATTTCTTCTTACTTGAGAAATGAAAGAAAGTATCTTAAGGTCCTCTCTTAAAAAATACTTATCTCTGCAATTTTGAGGTCTGTTTTTCTTGGTGAACAGAAAACCCACGGTGTCCTTGTGCCAGGAATGGAGGGTGAGAGTTTTGTGCTGATTCCGTTTGAGAAAAACTTTAATATCCAGGCAATTTCATGGATCAGGGAAATCAGCTCTGCATCTTAATGCAGGGCTCTTATTACTATGTCAAGTGAGTGACATTCCAAGATTTCCCTGGTATATTTTGTAGCCTTCTTTTCAACATCAAGTCAGCAAGTGCCCTAGCTGCCTTGGTGGATGTATAGCGTAGCACAGAATAAACTCTCAGGTTTACCTTTTATGTGAGATTCAATCACAAGAAACTCTGTGTATTCTGTACTCTGTAAAGGCTAAACAAATCAAGCTGGCAGGAGCATGATGCAGTTAATTTATCTGTAGAGACAAGATAATATTGCACAGCGAGCGCCCATTGCACAAACACACATGAGCACATACTCTGTTCTGCAGCAATGTTGAAGTTTCCAGCAGCTCAAGCACCTCCACTATTATCCATGAGTAAGTAAGTGCCTGTTTGCCAGTCACAGGTCCACCTAAATAAATGAGGAAGCAAGGCTGATGGTGGCAGTGTGGGTATACATGCAGGAACTGTATTGTATGTCACACATTCCACTAATTATTTTACACTGAGAAGGTTGTCTCACGATTAGTTTTTGATGTACATATTTTTCTTTCCCAGGTGTTTTTTTTAATGCTGTGTTAAATCAATCCACCTGGCTTGGATTCTTTAGAAATCTTAACCTGACCTGTGGAGTCCAGGGTTTATTTAAACTCGCAGAAAGAGCAGATTGCTCTTTCCTACTATTTGTCTACTTATCTCTGGACCTGAAGTACTGGACTTCAGGTTTGAGTCTTTGAATGTAAGTGTCTGTGAATTGCTTTGAGAACCACACTAATGGTATTTGGCTGGAGAATATGCAATATTGCAGAGAGGTAATTGGTACAGCAAATTCAGTAGTCTCAAGGCTGCTGTGTCTCATAATTTTCTTCCTAAGTGCTATACTTAGATTGGTGTGGGTTTTGATGGGATGTCAGTGGTGTATATTTTCAAAGCCAGGATTATGCTGCGCCTTTAGAGAGATGAGGAAGCAGCAGGGAAATCCACAGTTTGTTTCCCCCTTCCTTAAAGCCTTTTGCTAAATTTTTTTGTTATGTTTTCTGCTCACTGAAAATAATAATTCTTGCCCTTTCCTTCAAGGCTCTTTTCAAAGTCTGCCTTGTGTTGATCTAATTGCTCTTTCAGTCGCTTGGCCAGACCAATGTTTTCTATGATGAAATTAGTAGTATAACTCTAGAGTCCTGCTTTCCCCTTTTCTTTGTCAGGTCCTGTTCATTACGTGTAACATTTAGTTTCTGGTTGAACTATAAGCTTTCCAGGAAAAGCATCATATTGCTTTTTGGTTTGCCATGCTTATAGTTCAAACAGACACTGGTAGATCTGTTACCTCTCCTTTAATACAAATAATAATATACAGGATCTAGAATGAAAATGCTTCTTAAGGCCCTCTTAATTTGTGCAGTTCCTATGCCTAAAACATGAGTAAGAGTTGTCTGTGGCTAGTACACACCCATGTAAAGTTATAGAAGCTTTATGAAGATTGAAGGAGGTGAAAGAAAATTGGTAATGTGGAAACAGCCTAGTGATTGATGGACATGACAGCATCCTAACTGAGAATACCAAAGGCTCCAAGGCACTAATAAATTGAAATGATGACCTGCATGATGAAGTCTGATCCAGAAATATTGGGTTGTGAAATTCCCTGCAGGGATGGGGACAGAAGCTTTTGAAAGATTCTCTTTAGCAGT